TGATACATTCTTCCACTGAAAAGGTATGTGAGTAGATAGTCACATGCATTTTCGTTTTCTAAGGGATTCTGGCGAACTGCCCAATTTAACTAGAATAAAGAAAAACAAACTGAATACAATGTAAATAGTTAGCTTTTCCGCTGACACTTTTAACCACTTCATCGAAAATTAATGACCATAACATTTCACACAAATTTGAAGATTTCGAATGGATCTAGGGAGAAATTCTACAGTTGGTTCCATCTGTTGAAGACTTGTCTACATAAAAACAATTATGACGAACTTTTGCTAAGGTGTATAGTTCTTAACACAAAGCGATTACAACTGTTCGTAATCGCAATACACTCCTCGACATTTCATTTAGTTTTGATTTCACACGACCTGAGATCGATTATTTGCGGACTCCAGAACCTCCTCCATTAGAACCATTTCCCTTTATCTATATTCTACGATGATGTACGGAACATGTGGATCCGGCTCTTCTATAAGAGTTTCTGGTCTCCTTTATGAACATCGTTGAATACTAGTCGAGGCGTTTCTTACAACAATCATGAGATTGCCGTGCTAGGACACTTATAGATCTTCTCAGAAGGCGGTCACCGGCTTTTCTGGATCGGAGGAAGTTTTCTTCAGTCTCCTACCCTTGTGCTCACTTTGGGAAGATGGTAGGCATGACCACTATGAGACGTAGTCAAACCCTGATCTTGCCGGCATAATCGCAGCTGATCTACTCGTGTCACCAAGACGGCATTGAGAAACATAATTGCTTTGACAGTGGCAATAGTTGGAAAGTCAGCAGATTCCAGATTTCTCTACTTAAGCTGCTTATTTCGTTCCGTCCAAGGTGGTTGTCTGGAACGAGGTAAAATGCTTTGGAAAGAGCGCTTAACTAACAAACTCACAAAATCATGAGACATATATGGCTCATAAATCGAGAATTTCCTGGTATATCGTGTTGAAGTTGTCATTTTTTTGCGAGTGTATGTGGATCGGTTTTTTTCACATTTTCTCACGAAATCCGACAACAACAGATTGGTCAAAGGAGATTTTTTCTAGTAGTACGCGCTAAATCCTCCTACAGTGTTTCCACCGTTCAGGACTACTTCGTTGAGGTAAGAGTTTCCAAAAAACGATTCAAAACTTTTCAAAACCAGAGTTTTTATACATTGGCAAAGTTTTCTGTCTCTTCAAAAACTGCCGATAACTTTCCGATAATTCGCCTCCTTGAAGGCCTCAGTACTTGAAAAGCTTGTAGAAACGACTTTGGTTTTAGTTCTTACGTAATTGTGTAAAAAGATACTTAGTTTTTCATGCAGGCGCAGCAGTTGCCTACATTGCCGACGCATTCGCAGACTTAATCTGTGCGCTTGACGAAACTCCGCTTTTTCGATTGCCTCACTGCTTGAGATCCGAGCTAGAAAGACAAAAGTAGGGAAGAAGGTTATCTGTGGACTCCAGAAAATTACAATTGTGTTGCAGTCTAACAAGAAAACATGTTGTCAATTGTCAGTAAAGTGTAGAACCAACGGTCTTCAGTTCAGGGCATGATGTAAACCATGAGCTGAGATATGTTTATTGAAATACGGTATGCTAAACTTTTTCCGGCCACCTATGCATAACATTAAATGCAGACTGCCGTGAGTATTAAGCAAAGTGAAAAGTAAGGAAGTATTGTAAAGTCTTTATATGAATACATGGTAGTACTGTGAGAAGTCTCTTCTAAAACCCTCCCAAGTTTTAACTTCTTAGGTGCTTGACTTTTCAAGAGTATATTGGTGGTGGGTCTAAAAGTCCACGCTTTCTTTAAAGTGTATTTTTCTTGCTTCCATTTGAATACATGAATGACCTGTCTTTGTTAATCATGAAGAATCTCACCGCCAAAATTTTTAATGTTGGCCGTCTAGCGTGCCCGCAATACAAAATTGGGCCCTACTGTTCCAAAACTATTGATTAACTAGTCATTGTACGAAGAGCAGCTTTCACTGCAACCTTACAGCCTTTTAGATTTTACACCTTCTATCACCGTTCAAGAAATTCTTCTGGAAAAACTTCCCACTCTTTTTCAATTTATTAAAAGCCATCATTGCAGAACTATTCATTGGCAAAAAAAAAATGACCCCAGAGTTTTGGTACCGACCGCTGCAATTGAGTGACATAGTGATCACTGATTCAATAGGCACTACTAAAATAAAGAGCGCACTAGCGTGTAAAGGTAAGTGTAACCCAGTGCTTATAAGCGTCATGTAAAACAAATTTAGTCATTGGTTCGATGCCGCTCCACAAACTAGCCAGACCTTCCATTCCTCCAGGGTCGGCAAACTGGTCCCAGACTTGTCTGAAAGGTTAGGACCACTTGATACATTTGCAGGCTACCCCAAGTTAATGTGCAAGCCAGGTTTGCACTCATTAAGCTCTAACGATGCTTGATAAATTTATTTATGTGATCTTATAAACTGATCTTCTTAAGTTGACGCGAGGTTGGTACAGATCTTCGTTGTCGTTGTCGTTGTCGTTGTTTTTGATGTTATTGAACGATGGCTGACGTTTCGGCGACTTCTTGAATGCTAGTCGAATGCTTGATAAAGTCGAATGCTTGGTGCATTTCTGAGGGATTAATCATCACGGGGCCATTTGCCTTTTTATCCGTTACAATACCGTATAAATGTTGGAAGTACTGAAATTTCGTTATGAATAGACTTCATTTGAAAGATGTTCGAAGATTCTAGTGGTCCTGTATTTACGAGCAAAAAGTTCACCATGGATTGACAACGCAGAATACGGTGTAATCTACAACGAGTTCACAAAATGCATGCGTACGAAAAATGTCAAACTCGTTCTTGGTGAAATCTTTATTTTCATTAAACGCACCTAATTAGAAAAATGAATTGCTCGAAGGCATTTTAGAAGAAAGAAGTGTTGCCTAACTTGGCGAAGACTTTCGTTTAATCTAATGTACTTCTACACGTAAATGAAATCGAGGAAATTTTAACTATGAGCACAACGATTATGGGAAATGATCAAAACCCAGGACCTTAGGTTGGCTTCAAACCCACAGTTACCTTTCCGAGGGCTCACTTGCTATTCACCATCCCAACTGTAACCTTATGCTTTGCCTTTCTCTTAGCGTTGTTATTCCTGTACTGTCGGCAATAAAATATCAGCGAGAACGACCTGGGCAGCACAAATCAGCCTCGAACCACATTAAACTGAAACTGCATTCGGAATCATGGTTGAATTTCACATAGCACGCTGTCATGAAAAAAAGAATAGGCAGTAAATAAAAATTAAGATATTGTGGTTTGACTATAAGTTATCAAGACCATGCCTATTATGCCAATATTCAACACTTTGTAGTCATTCTATAATAACCGATTGATATCTATAAATCTATTAAGCGTATAGTAATTTTAATAATACACTTCAGCAAGTTGAGCATTTTTCCCTAAGCAGTAGTTTTTATTGTTCCTAGAAAGTACCTCCTATTTTGTTGAAATCTGATCGAAGCGTTCTATAGTGGCATCTAAATGACATCTAGAACGAAGTATGTTTTTCTGTTGTACATTACATCGTTTCTGCGTAGCTATTGTCTTAAAGCCTAAGAGCTAACAAGCAGCGAAAATGTGTTAAGACTGTATTGATCCGTCCGACGTCTTACTGTCGTTTTTACTGGGCATCGGAAACGTATTCAAGGAAGCTTTTTTATCTAGTGAACGTCTTACGTTCAACAATCCAAGAAACACATGCCATTTTTCACATGGTCCCTCTTCTCACCGGCGTTTCTTTGCCACATACAATAATTGACAGACAACCCAAATAATGCTAACTTGTTGTTTTACGCGTGTCTAAATCACGTTGCTAAGAAATTCTTCATTAATAAAATCCTGTGAGCGCCTATTTAGTGTTGTAAAGAGGTATAAGCAAAGTTGGAAATATTGCAACACAATTCGCATTTGGGTGCTCTTTCTGAGCGTGACGAATTTCTCACCTTAGTGCGACCTCAATATGTATGTCAGTTCTGCTGGTTTGACCTGTCGATCACCAAAGACTAGTGGTGCGGAACAAAGCTCGCTTGGTCAGGGTACTATGGGCTGACCTCGGTCAACTCTTCGACCATCACCCTTTCAAATGTCACTCCTAATCAAAGCATCTTTGTTTGTACAGTCTGGCACTCTTCGATAACATAGTGGATTTTCTTCGTATTTTTGTTGAGCAAACGAGAGGTGTTATTATTCTTTATTCACGAACAAGCTGACGTTTCGGCGGATTTCGCCTTCCTCAGAGCATGGAAAGGTCAAGTTGATGGTAATCTACTCGGCCAGACACCTCCATAACCAAACAAAGAAGCTCCAAACCAAGATTTCAATCACTTTGAACACAGCTTTGCACACCCACCGCTTTCTATGAGTCTTCCACTAAGTATGTCACGTAGAGACCAACCGCACAGAAATCACATGGAAGTATAATGTGCCCCACTCATCAGAATAGCAGTCTTATATACTGCCCCATATCACGCGTGATAATGAGGCATTCTTCCCTGCGGTTCATTTCCGGATTTCTGGAATTAATCCAGAATGCCTCGAGAGTTTTTCGCGCCTGTGTTCTTGATTCGCGTGCGAGGATCGTGACACATACTTCAAAGTCCTTCCCTTTATGTCTCTGGGTCCTATGCGTGCCTAGCGGGGTATTTGGTCTATGTTTGCTGGCTATATAGTGGATTTTATTACCTCGCCTTGACGTCGGTGTGTAATCGTTTAACACTTCTCATCTCTCACAAGAACTTGTTCATTTGATTAACGTCTAGTTGGAAACACATAATCCATTTCCTCAACCGTTTTTTAGACAACAAGAGCCCAATAATGAAGTTGTTGTTAAATTTCGGATGTTTACGAATGAAACTCTCAAAGTCCTTAATTACTATCGTGCGAAAAGATACAGCTTAAACCTCACTGAAGTGCAAAAACGTGGTATGCGAGGTACGAGAGCTGATAAGGTTGAAAAACATGAGACTATCCGTTAGTGATAAGGGTGGAGAGTTTGTTGTAATTTCCCATCAGTTAGATGTGGAGATAACGAAAAAGCATCTTGAAGATGCTTCGCTTTATCGCCCATCATTTGAGAAGGAGTTCAAAAGTAAATACCGAAAATTGAACCACGAATGGGCCAAAATGGCAAGGGCTGCTGGTTTAAAACCATCAGTTATCTCTCAACTAAAAGTTGACTTACCAACATGTCCCGTCTTGTACTTGCTTATAAAAACTTAAAACTATAAACTAAGTTAGTATCCAGCGATGATCTTGCGTCTACCGAACCATTATTATTTAAGGTTAGACTTATCATTAGCTGTGTAGACGGGCCAACGGATAGGATAACGTGGTTTTTAACCCTAATATTTAACCAGTTGTTGAAACACATTCCAGCCCATCTTACGAATACCCAGATGTTTCTGGATCGTCTACGTACTGCGCAGCCCAACAGCGCGTGCGTGATGGAGTCCTTCGACGTTACTGCCCTTTACACAAACGTGTTGAATGACTCCACAATGCAAGCCATATTCGAATTCCTTGTACAACACCAAGAAAGAATAAACATGTATGGCTTTGAGATAGAGTAGTTGATGGCACTCTTAAAAGAATGGCTGAGCTGCTTAATCTTCGGATGGTCCAGAGAGTACTACGCTCAAATAAGAGGGTTGGCAATGGGACAACGACTGGCACCAAGTCTTGCCATAGCGTTTATGTCTAAGGTGGAAGCACCGGTGACCGATCTCGGGCCGCTACTCTACTGTAGATATATAGATGACTGTTTTGTCCTTTGCTCAGCACAAGAGGAATTGGACAAATTTTTCGAGTTGCTGAATAAACATCTCTTAATAACTCGAAAGACCGACTTTCCATGAACCTCGGCATAGATAGTTGATATATTTATTTATGTGATCTTAAAAACTGATCTTCTTAAGCTGACGCGAGGTTGGTACAGATCTTCGTTGTCGTTGTTTTTGATGTTATTGAACGATGGCTGACGTTTCGGCGACTTCGCCTTCTTTAGAGCCGTGATGTTACGTGCTGGACTCTCTGAGGAAGGCGAAGTCGCCGAAACGTCAGCCATTGTTCAATAACATCAAAAACAACGACAACGAAGATCTGTACCAACCTCGCGTCAGCTTAAGAAGATGAGTTTATAAGATCACATAAATAAATATGCTGAATAAACAGTCAGAGTATATCAAGTTCATCCGAGAGAAACCGGAAGGAAAATGGTTTCCATTCCTGAACGTCCAAATTAACCTGTCAGAAAATGGCTACTTTACGAAGTGGTACCGAAAACCAAGTAGTAAAAACATCTTGGTACATTACCTCTCTTCTCACCTCTATCCCACGAAAAGAGCGCATACAACCAACGTGTGCACGGGTAGAGAGCAGAGAGAGGAGTCCCGGAACTTGGCACGGCAAATAGCCGTTTCTAATGGCTACGAAGCTGTAGCTCAGGATAGGTGTAGGAGAAATCGGAGGCCCCCAAACGACAACTCTAACAATAAAAAGGTCCCGTTTATCCTACCGTTCATCTCAAATGATGTAAGTGCAGCTATAAGATGTTGCTTAAGAAGGGCGAGTCTAGAGAATTCGGTAAACGTGGTTGAAATGCCACCGAGTAATCTTAGGCGCCAGCTAGTTCATAACCGCCTATATGACCGTCTATGTGCAACGCAAAATTGCATAATTTGCCCTAGTGGTAGAGACGGTGATTGCATGAGCTCGGGTATAGTTTATCTGATCTCCTGTAAGACGTGTGGTGACGAATACATTGGCGAAACGGGTAAACCCCTTTGTGTCCGCATAAAAAAACACTTAGTCGTAAACGTACGCCAAATACCCCACTAAGCACGCATAGACCCAGAGACATAACGGGAGGACTTTGAAGTAAGTGTAACGATCCTCGCACAGGAATCGAGAACACAAGCGCGCAAAACTCCCGAGGCGTTCTGGATTAATTCCAGAAATTCGGAAATGAACCGCTGAAAATAATGCCTCATTATCACGCGTGATATTGAACATTATATAAGCCTGTTATTCTCATGGGAAGGCACATTACACTTCCATGTGATTTCTGTGCGGTTGGTCTTCATGCGACATACTCAGTGGAAGCCTCATAGAAAGTGGTGACTGTGCAAAGCTGTGCTCAGTGTGATTAAAATCTTAGTTTAGCGTTTTCCTTGTTTGGTTATGGAGGTGTTTGGCCGATTAGATTGCTATTAACTTGACCTTTCCATGCTCTGAGTAAGGCGAAATCCGCCGAGACGTCAACTTATTCGTGAATGAAGAATAAAAGTAACACCTCGCGTTTGCTCAACAAGAAAACAAAGAATTACATAATCCATTATACAATTTTTCAACAAAATAATGAAATCCTATCTAGTCTTAAACTTAGGAGCGCAATTTGTCTTCCAATATTATCTCAATGAAACTTGAACACCCCAAGTCGCCAATGTTTATTCGTTAGGATAACATCAGTACATGCTGCAATTAAAATAACAGGTCATGTTGAGAAATTTTCCTCTCCAATATCACGTGAGAACATATTTATGCATATAGCGTACGTCGCTCAACGAATTCTTCCGTATGTAAATGTTGTGGTCGTACCAGTCTCATAATTCTGGTTGAGGAAGCCACTTGAAGATCACGGAGACATACTCAGCCAGAAGACGATTATTTACCCGCTAATGTGATCGCCCAGCAACTCAGTGTCCAGCAGGATTACGGAACATGTAACTGCACATTTTGTTCAGCATGTTTCTTTTTTCTAGATATTTCTTCCGGATGCTAGTGAAAAGCTACTTGTCTTTGCTTTTGGATAAGCTTATGACAGGAGTCTTATGAAATCTTCGTATAGGTACATAAGAAGAGATCATAGAGAAATGAAATCGCGCTCGATATTCTTCTTTCCAATGCAACCCCGTGGGAAAGCCTGTGTTAATCTGTGATTATCGATGGTTCACCAAGTGACAGCGCTTTGTCCTATCACGTCTGAACATCAATCTGTTCCGTCCGTTTAAGTGTACCCCAGGGAAGCCTTTAGAGACCAGCAAGCAGTAATAACACCACTCATGATTAATGATCATATGGAGGCGGGTGAAGTCTATAACATTCTGCTGATACTTACTGTGAGTTGTTGTGAAAACAGCAATGCTTTTCTTTTTATTCAGCCTCAGTTGATGACAAAGCGAACAGTTTCAATGATACACGGTCCGTTGTGGGACACATCCGCAGAGTCTATCTCTAATCCAGTAATTATGAGCTGTAGAGAACTTGACCGTGTGCTTCGGCTTCTGTTCCAAGATCCACTTCCTAGTAATACACTAACTTGGATTCGGATGAACAGCCCTCATCGGTCGCCGTGCTATTAAATGATTATTCTTTTATTCTACCCATCACCTGTCCATTGAACTGTCTTCTCACCATCGGTCTCTACTTTTAGGATTATTCACGAATTCATACCATTTGCTTTTAAGTGACAACGTAAACCATCGACTTTGGCACCCATTCTTGCGGACTTCACGATTTCTGCTAAGTGAATGGCAGATTGTAATAACCTCATATGCTTAATACCCATTAAACTGTGCTCGGATGCGATCGTCTAACACCAAACTACCATCACTGCAATTTTTCTTAATAATTGTGTATTTCTACCCAAGTTATCTACTCATTTCCTTCTCCAAGTTGTTAATGTAACCATTTACCACAATACCTCTACTTCGAAACTTCTCGTTCTTTTTATGATCACGGTAATTCCAAGCGTAATGAATATCGGTAAAAATCATATACCCGAATTGGTTGACCATGCTCCGAAAGGAATCGTTTTCACAAAACAATTCCTCAACTCCTCATCTCTTGAAGTTCATAGCAACAATGTCAATTGTTGGAGTGTAGTTGTTGTCGTTATTTTATATACCCGTGCAGTGCTTCACGATATATTTCGATGAGAAAACCGACGGTGGTCAATTTCTAGCAGTGCTATCGATCGGTTATCGATTTGTCTTAAATCTGCACTATTTTCCGCGCATAGGCGTTTTTGTAGAGCTACGGCCAGTCTCACATAAACGTCTGCGCGGCATATGCTCGGTCGTATTCATCACATATTTTCCTCCGGTGTTTCGTTTGTTGACTTTATTCAATACACTGACCGCCTGAGCGAGTTTCCGTTCCACAAATCATCGAATGCTGGTTGAATCGTTGAAGTTCCGCTGCACGTTAACATAGAATTATCAATGAACTGGTTAGCATCTTCTTGGTGGACGGTCTCTATATCAGATTTTTGTTCCTTTACCTCTACCTAACTAATGTTTTACATATGAAAATGATGAAACCATTTCTTTTGGTGACGAACGACACACAACGCACTGAACGCCTTACCTAAGCGTTTTTGGATTCGGGCGACTCTTTTTTGAACGAATGGTTTTGTTTTACGTCTTTTATGTCGTCGTCTGTTATGGCTGGGATCGTTGTGGCATCTTTTCTGATCTGTTAGTCGCAATCTCCGAAATTTATCTTATTCGCTCATCTCTCGATCATCGCTGTTTGTTTGTGTCATGTGCATAGTTCCCGAATCTGCAACAGATCGCTGTCTCACTTTGTCCTCTTCACGTTACACTACCGTTGCTCTAATGATGAGTGTCGAACTCGTCAATTTATCACAACATATATGCGTGTGTGTGGTTGTACTTCTGATTCCATACCTGTTTACCCTTTAAATCAATTGCCTTTTTTTTCGTCTTATATATATATATATTTATAAACTATAGCATCCCGCATATTTGTTTGCATGTTTTCCTCAGGCTGGCCTTACAACCCATAGTCTGCTTTTTTGCCTTTGTCAGTGTTCGCTCTATAGACGAACTACTACATGTTTTCTTTTTATCGTTTCTTTTCTTTCATTCTTTCTGCCGAAGTGCATAATTGTATGTAGTATTTCCCTTCTAACTTCCTACTATAGTTGAACGAATTGCATGTTTGACTCCGCGCCTTCATTTCGGTCCTTGAGTGCCCCGTAGCCACCTTCATTCAATTGTCTCCTAGTGCGTGAGACTCAACGAATCGTTCATTTCGAATATTCACTTGAATTTGGTAAAATTGGACTCCATAAAATTTCATTGGTACATCACCACCTAAACATGTTTTTGTAGGCGAGGAATTCATAGTTTTGGAGATTTACCTTGATACTGCATGTCATCGCAGGCATGCAACTTTCGCAAATGTGTTCATCGCTACTTTCTTTCAATGTTTATTAGTCATGAATTCATCCATTGTCTTTAGTAAGTTGAGTAATTTGTTACCACACTCATGTGAGTTGTTAGTTCTTTATATCTGGCGGTAAATTGCGAAGTGGACTGAGGTGAGGACGTATTGTTGGCAGGTAATTACCGCGCGTGGAACTGGGATGTGCTGACCCGACCCTTCGACACGGACGCGCGCTCTTTGCGCCCTCCTTCTTCCTTTCGTTCCACCTGGTCTAGCAAAGAGAACTTAAGCACTTTCTGCTATCTATCCAACTCTCTCTCTCTTTCTCTTCACACGCCTGCCTTCATACTTGTTTATAAAAAGTTTACTTTTGTTTTCTTTTTTAAGAACCTTCTTTTTGTACTTTTCGCATGACATCGTTTCTGTACAACTCAGATCACTAGCCGTTAAAGCGACATGATAGTCCTTTTTCAAGCTGAAATTCGTTTATTATCTATCTATCGTTTATTTATTATCTTTTAACGGTCTGTGAGGATTTCCAGTTCTATCATTCCATCTTCGCTTTGTACAAAAATACGTTTGTTTGACATCAAAGTCGGTTTCTGATTTTCTCGTGAAACATGACAGAGTAATGCGTTGTGGTTATCGTTGGATTTCTTTTGTTGTAGGAACGTACTGCTGGAGAGTTCCTCCCTAAATATGGGGCCGCATTTGGCTCTACTGCTCATCCATTGCATCCGAATAATCTGTAAGGACCATTTCTCGCTCTTCTTAACTGATCAAGAGATCAAAGATTGAGCAAAGATTTCTTAGACGAATACCATTCCGTAGAAAAAAAAACACTTTTCAAAAAGCGCTTTGGTAGAAAAAAGTGAAGTAAATAAAAAAAAGAGGAAACGGCATCGTGTTTGGCCATGGCCGCTTGCTTGTGTTTGCTAAGCCGTTTGCACTATTGTCATAGCCTTTTCTGACCCTTTGAATCGATTGCTAATAACATAGTTCACACAAGAACAAAAACTACCAGGTCTTTGTTCTTAATGGTAATTTCCACGTTTTAGTCTGCATTGAGAACAGCGGAGTATTTGCTAGCACACCCGGTGCTGGACCATACTATGTAAAACCACACAGCGTAGGACCGACGTTAAAGTGCTCGGTAAGAAGTAAATTCGCTGATCGAACCCGATACCAAGTACAGTGGCAAAAGTACAACAAAGGCAGCCTAAGGTATGTTTAGTAACTAACCGTAATGATGAAAGCTTTGCAGAACGATGATAACTTCTTTTTAAAAAGTTCTGTATTACCTCGTCGACAGTGGTTTTTTTCGTTTTTGTTTGCCCAATTTTCACTATTATTTAGACTGTTTTTCTAGAATCTGTATCTCCTATCTCAATCTTTCACACGAACACTGTGTATGTGATCAGTCTCCAAGACACCTATTCGTCAGTCCGGCCTTCTCCACAATTTAGATGCTGTGTTCAGATACATATCGATCGGCGACCAGTTGCATGACAGCGTACATTTCGAACTAGTCGGTGATATGTCAAAGGGAGTCTATGATCTAAAGCTTAAAGAAGTTGCGATAGAGTCCGTGATTGGTTCCTATTACTGCACCGTACTTGATCGCCAACAAACCGAGCAGTACCAAGCGGATCCCATTGAAGTTGTTGCTTTAGGTTTGTTCTTCCATATTCTGTGTCGATAGTGGTACTTATTGAATAATTCTAGATTTAACAATCGGAAAAGTTGATGATGGAGTTAAATTCGTGTATTGATTTTATTTCACTGCAGTATTGATCGTGTTTCAATGTTACACATGATCTACAGTTTTTTGTCACGCACATGCACAAGGATTCAGCTAACACGTTCATGAACATCTGTTGTTGTTATTGTGTGCGTATATTTATGAATACTGAAGAAGTGCAATCCATCTTATCGGGCTTGTCGATTGTTCGCTATTCTGAGCAGCGTCCTTGCATGTCGCAATCTCGGTAAAATAACATCTAGAGCTCAACAGTCCGATGTGTAATTAGTCCAGTCTTGCCCGACGCGAAATCGCTGTCCTCGTCAGTGATTTTCCATGCACACGAGCAATCGAAGAATTATGGTATTCCTCCGAAAAGAATGCTCTTACTAGGTTAATATTGGACTAGTAGGGCCTTCATCTACACACGTGAGCGCCGTAACACTTCGATGACTTGCGGCGCGTGCACATAGTGTTTTATCTGGGTAGTAGTCATGATGTTGAAAAAAGCTGATTTACAAATCTCAAAACACCATTCTTCCAATGAAGGCAGCCTATCTGCGGAAGGTTATGTCTCAATATCACCTCCATGCAGCAGCTAATTCCTCTTATAAGCTCCAGTAGTTAATGAAGTGCCATTACCCAGGTAACGAATGTCGTATATGGCTTAGCAAGGCTGTATTCTATCTCTAATTACTGGGTTACGTCCGACCAGGTGGTATGTGTGCTATGTGATGCAAGGTGAAAATTCGAGTACGGTGCCGTTTCGTTGAAAATCGCCCAGCTGCAAGATCGCATTTGAAAAAAGTAAACGAACGGAAAGACAGTGGCAAATCAAACAAAGACGTCTGTAGGTATCATGAAATGCTAAGATGACCTTTGCTGTTCCAGTCCCGCCAAGTGAGCCGATCATCACTGAATCACCATCAAAAGCTGTTACCCACGGTGATAGCGTTACGTTCAAATGTGTTTCCACAGGTGGAAGTCCACCTCCTACAATAAGGTTACAATACGAACAATTGATTTCATTGATTTTCTCCACTTATTAAAAACGATTTGTAGTTGGACTTTCTTAAACGGTAGCACAGCAGATGAGAGGAATGTGAATACACTGCTTCGTGGGACCGAGTCTGAAAGCACACTACAGTTTGTTTCTTTACATTATTCTTAATATTTTCATATTTTTAATGACGAATAAGACATATGACTGTCGAAGTGTAAAGGCTAATAATTAACTTTTTTCTCGAACATTTTTAAGATTCTAAATCCAGTCCTTTACTTCGCGCATTTGTTCGTGGGGTCGTACCAGTGTTTCTATGTTTAGTTAAGCAAACCGGCATTTGTGTTGACGAAATTTGCATGCCTATTTGCCATTCATTAAATGGGCGTAGATATCTATCGTTGTATATAACAATCCATTTCGAGTATTAGTTGAAATCCGAACCAATTGATTAGCTCATTTCCTTCGGCATAACCAATAAATCAATGCGGAGGTAAATGTTGATCAACCTGTGTTTAAGCTTTCGTGTTCGATCTGAAGATAACGGTGTTTACGTAGTGTGTGCTGTCACTAATAAGGCTATAGAGTTGGAACAGCCGAAAGAGGCAAGGTCGCCTAGATTGAATGTGGGTGGTGATTCTGTATCCTATTTGGGTTACGCTAATTATGCGTATACAATTTAGGTTCTATTCAAGCCACGCGTGCGGCTATCTCCTGACCAAGATATCGCTGTTGAGGAAGGGCATCACGTCGACCTCGTCTGTGATGCTGACTCAAATCCATATCCTCCAAGTTATGAGTGGTGAGACTCATAACCTTTGAAGTTCATGTCCTTTCTCAATTTCGATCTTTAGGAGGCATTTGGCACTGGGTGAAGTTTATGCCGCTTCGAAGTGGACAGTGTTGGCTAGTCGTAACATGAGTGGCGATTTCGAATGTCGCGCTAGTAACATTGTTGGGGAAGGAAGTGCTATTCTCACTCTTAATGTGCAATACGCTCCTGTTGTGACAACTAAGGTGAGTTCAACATGTTGTCATAGGCGGTTAATTTTTTAGTGGAGTCTGGTGCTCTTATAGTATTACTGGAAGCCGTAGCAGAAGTGTTGTGTATACGTCAAAAGAACCGGTTGGAAGTGTGCGATTTCTGTATGCTCTCAATTTGTTTATTATACTTATAGCCGAAGTATAACCCAAGAGAAGGGGAGCGACTTCAAATTGAGTGTTCTGTGGATGCAAATCCTCAAGCGGCAGATGTGAGATGGAGTGGACCACAAGGTTTCATCTGTGATGGGCCAATCTTGGTTTTGAAAAGCGTGTCCAGGTACAATTTTGTTTCCTGCTATCTGAGTAATCTCGAAATACCATTTGCTGCTATGTTGTCAATCATGTGTGATGGGTGTGATTCCGCTATAGCATAATAGTAGTCCTATAATTCGTGGTTTTGTGCGTCTAGGTGATTAAGATGGAACGTTATATCATTGAGCTGGTTTGGTTTCCTGCTTGACTGCACAAAACTAAACAACAACAGTGGGGTTTCCTTATGTTTGTTCATCTTACTGGTTCTCTAGAAATTCTATAGAAACCGGTCGCGAAACTTAGCAGGTGGTGACAATTTGAGAAGGAAAGCTGCTGGGGAGTGACGGAATAGCAAAAAGTTTCTTCTAGGGAACAGACCGGCAATTATACATGCTCGGCAACAAATTATCTCAGCATCTACGGAGAATCAGGCTCTCAAACCCGGATAGGATCTGCTGTGACGGTTATAGACGTGAGCCATACGTTCTGCGTTTTATTCTTCTAGATTTGGGCTTGCAACTACTTGATTTACAGGTGCAACGACCACCTGGTCGAGCCGATATCTCTCCTGCTAGACTAAGTGTTATCGTAGGTGGTACAATCAGTCTTACATGTTCCGCACATGACCCTGGAAGCCCATCAGGAAGTTTTAAGGTGACATGTTTCGTGATGGCTAATTCAATCTTTAAAATTCTGAATGTAGTCAACTTTCGAGTGATATTTATTTTTCAAAACTTACGATACAGAAATTGTTGACTTTGTGAAAGAAATCAAGCAATTTTTTAAATAATGCTTTCGTAAATCTTGTCGACATCATCTCTTTAACACAAAGCGGATGTATAGCGGAAGAGCAGATGAATGTTGATTTCAATGCATTCGGTACAACAATAATGGCTGCTTTCAGTTTAACCAGCGTCTCTTGGCTCTTAGTGGACTTTATTAATTGAAATAAAACCACTGGGATATAGAAATATAGATCTTTGCTCAGAAAGCCCAAGTTTTCTTACATTTATCGGAACTCGTCTTTTAAGCCTCAAGGGAGTGGAATGGTAATGTGCCACCACAATGATGTTGAGATATTCGCAAAACGTGGGGTCCAAGCCAGATTGAGCCACGATTACCCTTTCCGAGGGGCTCATATGTTGTAGAAGAGACTTACTATATAAAAAGGATTAAGGATTAAGCTCTTGGCGTTGATCTACCCTAAGGGATGCGCCATGAATTCGATTTCATTAAGCATCGTTGGAGGTGATTGAACACATATCTGGCATTTACAATGACTCGTGGTGGCCTACCGTATCGAGCCAGTGTTGCTATCGTCCCAGACAAGTTTGGTACCAATTAGCCGACCGCGGAGATGTGGAAGGCTTGGTGGACCATGAACGCTGAGATCGATTCCACGTGGGTGTTCGACCACTGCGCCACACGCGCTCATATATATATATATACGTATTTAGGGGCACATATGTCACCCTAGGATTGTTATTTGGTTTTTAAACTTTTCCAAATATAAAATCTTTAAAGGAAATAACAATGAAATCTATGCTTCTAAAATTCGAAATAAAACTTCGGCTCCCACAAACATTATTGGCAGATTTTGGGAACGCAGTTGTGCTCCAGTGTTCGAAAAAGGGCCTGCTGAATTGCTTTTATTTTCTAAATACCAACGTCAGCGTAAAAAGTAGCAAAAGTACTACTTCGGGACTTGGTGGAGTAAGAGACATTGTTATTGTCGAAGATCAGGGATTCTAATGGTTTCTATTTCAACTAATAAAATTCGCTTTGGTATGAGATATATTAGTTCAAAGTTGAAAGCGGCTGTTAGTTTCGCACCTTGCGAGTGAAAATCAACTCTTAACTCATTTTAAGTGTTATGAAAAGCCCCCAGCCCTTTAAAAATTTTTTTAGTGGGCTTCTCCATCCTCTGGTGGCTTGTTCGGAACTCGAGAACACGATCATGCTCAGCTGACAGTCAGGAATGTTCAACTTGCTGATAATGGCCGTTATCGCTGTCGTGCTGACAACATTCATGGAGAAGGGAAAGAAGCTGTTGTTGATGTCACTGTAAGTAAACGTATGCTCGAGACTTCAAGCCTTTCTAACGGTTGCTCTCCCTAGGTTATTGAACCGGCATGGATTTCTCGTCATCTAACGAAAGAACTTACTTTGAAATTGGACCAGTCAGCTGGCAGGCTAGAATGTGAAGCGAAAGGTTTTCCAGCTCCAAGTTTTCAATGGTTTAAGGATAGTGAGCCGGTCGTTACGAAGCGTTACAAGATCGAAAGCGTCATTGTGAAGTCAAGGTACGAAAGTATCAGTTCTGAAATGTCATCGTCTAAGTCTTTTAAAAAAATTCTGCATTCATCTTGGGTTTGCATTTTGGTGGTTATATATATATATATATATATATATATATATATATGTATGTATATATATATATGTGCAGTGAAAGTGGAAAATGGTGAATGCGCAGCGTGCGTAACATTGTAGCTGAATAGTGAAGATGTGCTTAATTCTCTGACTCCATTGTAATAAGAAAACTAAACTAAGAGAACGTGGGCGGTGGGAATTTTCCAAATATACCTGCATACATACAGATGAACAAGATAAAATTCAGCCAGTTCTTTTCTATCTTTGATCGCTAATATTCTAAGACGTTGTGTTTGCAGCTGTTCATCAGGAGATTACTGCTCTCAAACTGTCACCAGCACATTACTGTTTACGAAACCATTGAAATGGGCAGACAAGGGCAACTATTCTTGTCGGACAACGAATGGCGCTGATCAGAAAGACGTAGATGACACTTCGTGGACCGTTATACGAGTCAATCATGGGCCAGTCATTCTGAATCAGCGATTCCCGGAAGAGGGACTTGCAGCTGCAGATGTGGGCACCATGGTGAGTTCGCTTTACCATGATTCTCTTCTCCTCATCGTCAATTTAAGCAAGTTGTGGTAATAAGGAAGTGACGGGATAGTTACTAACTGGGCAATCAAGTAAAGGAATTTGTTGATTAGTAACGATATAGTTCAATGAAAGAGTGAGTTTGTTAATTTTATCCTTACTTTCCAATGCAGCAAGTGTTGATTGCCTCGTTATGACTTAATTACTAATGCAAAGAAGTTTAACGGGATTGTGAGTAACGTAGATTTTATGTATTCCATGTGGATAATTAATTTCTTTCCCTTATGAGAACATTTTGACATGGAATTGAGCCAACAAGCTCGCGCTGATATTTTGAACTGCTTTCAAATTTTTGAAGTGCATTCAAAACTTGACCATTCTGGGCACCATTTAACTCTTTTTCTTGAACGAAATACTCGCAGTTAGTCGCTTGGATTTATTAGCTCTTGTTCACTTAAGTGCTGTGGTACATGACGAGTGGAACTGGATGCACTGACTTCTTTTGCGTTCTATTGTTTTGCCCTACCTTCTTGAGCTCACGGCAACATCAGTGTTCAAAGCTCCGGATGCTAAAGTTTTCGTGGGTAAAGCGAAGGTACAACAGGTCTTTCCCATCACTGTCCATCGCTTTTTTATTCTAATTTGGGGGCCTGCATTATTCTGAGCGCTGCTGTTCTGAGCCGTTTTGGACTGACAACATCATCTTGTTTAAGTAAATTACTATGAAAGTGTCTTATAAACTGGCAAGATTTCATCCGGCTTCACTTTTTCATGGTCTGCAATCGTTGCAACAGGACAAGTTCTAATTCTGACCGAACACCTTAGTCGATTTTGAAGTGTTCTTTACGAGTTCGTTAAACACCATAAAGAGTCTCATCATGGTCATGATAGCTCGTTTGTTTTTTCTTCTCGCCGTCTTAACCTTTTCGCATCTATCCATTTTTTCGTGTGACGTATGCATCAAACCACTCTTAATTTCCGAACGCTGCGGCCATAGTAGTTTTCCAGCAATAAACCATAAGAGTCTTATCCGACAAAGGCCAAACACAATAGATGTGTTGGATAAACCATCAAATGATTACGGGCCTTTTTGTGCTCTAATGAGCTCTGTACAACGAAAGAAATCAGCGAAAAAGGTGTCTGCAATGCTCTCCAACGTGTAGCACGTATTGAAATCAAGCGTAGGTTTTAAGAGACTCTGCGGCAATGTATTATTGGTAGTTGGAGAGCTGTTAATGCACAGAAAAATCATTAGGTTCATAAAATCATGTCGCAAATGCATCTGTTCATCGAGGTATTTGAGCATGGCGAATCCTGTTTTTGTTTTATTTACTAAATTTCGTAAAATATCTAGGCTCGCTTGCGATGTATTGTTTCTGCTCGTCCTGAACCAAAGTCTTTCAGTTGGATGTTCAACTCTGTTCCTATCGAAGAAAGTGGAAGGTTCTCATTCAAAACTCAATTTTTCAATGGAGATCTGTTTGAACTTTGTAGCAGTTGAGAGTTATTGTTTAAATCGTTGGTTCTAGGTATTCTTTTCAAATTGTGCAGCATTACAACCGCGATGAGTACGAGCATATTCTACAAATTTCTGATGCTACTGAAAGTGACTACGGATCGTATATGTGTCGGGTGGCGAACGGTATCGATAAGGCAGAAGTGATTATTAGGTTGACGCGTACAAGTATGTTTCATCCCTTTTACCATTTATTGCATCCCTTTATTAATGCATGGCTCAGTACTACGGCTTATTTTTCGTAGTGACTCCACATGTCCCAACTAATCTTCGAAAATTATCGGCTACACCAAATTCCTTGTCAATAGGTTGGGTGCCTGGTTTTGATGGAGGATTCGATCAGTCATTTGTGGTTGAATATAGGTAAGCTTCTTCGGAAGAAATTTAAGCCCCAATTTTCTTTGCATTGTGAATTTTTAATATAGAAGTTTAAATCCATTCACTGAAAGCTTTGGAAAAGGAGACGTATCAACAGTAGAAGTGAGAAATACATCGCGAGTTGAACACATACAGGTGTGTAGCTAGAAATTTTTGTTAAGCAGATTTCTTTGCAGTAATATTGTTATTTATTAAGGATGACGGGACAACATTGTGGTTTTTGAGCTCTAACCTAACTGGACTGAATCCATTGTCGTCCTACTACTTTCGTCTTCGTGCTAAAAACAAAAAGGTCTTTTTTTTTCGCTACAAAACAATTGAGTCAATCTTAACTTTAGTCATCCATTGGTTTATTCAAGGGTTTTTCCGATTTTTCCCAGCTCGTAATTGCTACTACAAATGACGTTAACGAGGATCCGAACATGTTAGCACCTTCCACTCTAAGTTTTGATTTGATGCGGAAATCAATCGTTGTTGAGGTGAGACGCTGCTGTATTTCGCCTAGATTGAGGTTTTTTTCTTCAGCGTTTTTCCTCTCGTTCCTTACTGGTTATCAACCTGATATACGTAGGTTTTTCTTCTGATTAGAATAGTTGGACTTCATATTCTCCAAATAACTTGATTTTTTTTTTTTTTTGAAAAAGTGTCGTACTTCTTACTTATCGTATCTCAACTTATCGTCTGTACTTTTTGGACGATGTTTAAACCCCAGCGTTTGGTTTCCAGGGAATTCATAAATTGTTATCTGGTTCTTAGATTATTTTGTTATCCCACACTTAGCTCTGCTTATCCTGGTTTACGCTCCAAATTTTTTTCGTTCTTCGTTGCAATTCATAATTGCATTTTCTTTTTACTTTTCTTTTACTACTTACCAATTATTCCGTGAATTTGAATGGTCGGTTTCTCGTAATGTAATTGCAGTAATATGTTCATGTCGTCTTTATGAATCGATAAGCTTTATACTCACATGTCTGTAATGCATTCTTCCTTCTAGATTTCTCACTTATTAGGAGAATTCTGATACTTTTTAGGTAAAGCAAGTATTTTATGTTACTTTACTTTATATGACCCATTTTCACGTCTGCTGTGCTGATCCCATCACTTCTCACATTCGATTCGTTTCCTCGCATCCATTATCCACGAAGACCTTCCAACTTTGCGTGTGGCTTCGGTTCTGCTTAAGGATTTTCATTTCATCTTGAATGTCGTGGAATGCTGGTGGAGCAGTTCTCCCTGATGCCCTCAGATAGCCGGGCTGAAGCGTTCCCAAATGGATTGCAGAAAGTGATCTTTTCCCAGACAAGTCCGCTCCCAATTTCCCGGGAGCCCCGGAGGGATGAGAAGCTTGGCTGGCCCGGAGTGGAATCGAACTAGCACCATGCTCGTGATACCGAACATCCATACCAATGTGCTATCCACCACCTAAAGCACACTGAGAAACACGATTTTATGGAATCTCTTTGAGCATTTCCTCTAGATTTCCTCGTTTTCTATTTTTATCCTGGGCGATTTTGATCAAACACACCAAAATACGCTTTATTACATGTTTTAACCATTATCCGAACTATTAGAGGACCTATAAATGACTAGTACGTTCTAATTCCATTGTATTGATCATTTTTCAGCCTCATCCACCTCCAGACGACTGCACATTACTTTATGTATCTTCTGGCGACACATGGCGTTCTGCTGACTGTTACCCGCATGATCAAGTTATCACCGATCTACCTGGAGGAACTCTCTTCAGAGCCCGATTCTGCTCACGTGAACATGTTCTTCGTTGTTCAAAGTTGTCCCATATATTAGGTCAGATTATGCTTTTGTTCAAAAATGTTAAGGTTGATTTTCGAAATAAATAATTTGATAACCTTACTTAATAAGAAGATTCATATCGATTTGCTTCTGTTAGATGTGTAACACTTCAGAGGCCAATTCAATTGGTAGTGCTTGGCGCTTGGTATTAGTAATTCCCACACTTGTGCTGGCATTCTTCGTTATTCTGGTTTGCGTTCTCCTTGTTTTCTGTTGTCGCACCCGTATACCGTCGAAAAGTGTCAAAAAAAGGTTTGTTGTTTAAGCTTTATCTCTAACTGTATTCATCGTCGTTGGTCGTTGAAAATCAATGAAAGGAATTCATCTCGTACGAAGTAAAAACTCTGTTCACAGGCCAAAGGAGGCAACTGCAATGCCGGAATCAGATGTTAAAAACACTGCAGTTCATGGCTCGCAGGCAGACAGCGGTGTTTTCACTTTGGATTCGAGCAAACTGAAATCGACATTACCCATGCACAATTACTCGAGGTATTACTTTTGCGTATTGCTTACAGTTGAACTGAGTTTCTCTTTTAGGTCCGTTGTGAAGTTCTACATTCACTAGCAGGTTTTTTTAATAGTAGTATTTAACTAAAAAACAGTGTTCCGATTTGCCCACTAGCGCACTAAGTTCGAACTATTTTCAAATTCGACATTTGTTACATTCTAGTTTTAGTGACGAGACAGCAACCGAAAATTGGACGAGTGACCGATATGACACTTCGAATGACCAGTATCTTAATGAAACAACAGGTCTCAACTTGTCTGGCGGTGTATTGGATTTATTGGAGTGAATTTTGCGAACTGAACTAGTCTCCTAAATCTGGGTGTTTATGTTTACAGGCATAATGGACGGTCAGAATGAGGAGAACAGTTACTCTGGAGCAGAAGACGAAATCGGTCGTCGCGTAATACGAGAGATAATTGTGTGAACATGGGCGTTGTTCGACTTTAGTGTCGACCTTCTCATGTTTGTGGACAGCGATCTGCTCTTGCTGGAGCTTCGTCATCCACTATAATCTGTATCGTTTCACGAGTACCAGCGTTGTCTGTGCTTGTCTAGTCACAACAACTCACTTATTTTCTTTATTGGAATGTATCATATCATCTTTAGGAATTTTTTTCCTTGGGGAATGTATAACCATGATGCATATTTTGCTCAAAATTTGTCCGGGTGCCCTCGTGTTGTGTTCGCTTATTTGTTCCACTATTTTTTTAATCATCTGCTTTTATTCCCATCGCTCTTATCTCTTCTGTTCATGTTTTGTTTTTCTGTATTGAACTCGATGTGTGTTCTATGATCATCGACCATTACCTTTCTTTCTCATTCGCAAGGAACCTTCGTATTTGGTACTTGAGTTCCCCACTCTGATCTCTGTGGAATGAATGCCATCGTTCATTCTAATAAGATGGCATCTAAATATTTATTACCTTTAACTAACGTGCCTTTCTGTCTTGTCATCCTCTGTTTCTGTTGCAAATGTGGTCCTATTTGAGTTCTGTATGTCGTATTTTCAATATTGAATGAGAACAGCTGCATAAATTGTTACTTTGTTTTCTTTTTCTAACACAGCTTATGAGATAAGAATTAGGACTTACTCTTGACTCTGACTCTTACTTACTGACTATCCACTGAAGCGTATTCGATGTGGGCACCAGTATCGCACTATCAAGCTAGAGCCTATCGATTGTCCCTCGGTCGCAGTCTGCTTGTTTGCGCCAGCTGCTTGCATTTCACGACTCGCACTCCTTCCACCATAACGAAGCCTCTTTTTTTCGCTCTTTTCTGTTCTTCGTTTTACAGAAATTCCGGCAATGGTCTACCATGTTGGGCTATTGTACTAGTTAGTTCTCTCTTTTTGGTCTACATCTGTCTTGCGTGACAAATAGTTTGAGCCATAGTAAACAAGAACTAGGCTCAGATTATTTCTTATAATGAAGATGAATACGGTCTTTATTGAACAAGTATCAACAAGTAATAGAGTAAATAACTACACTTATATTTATGTAAATATGGAGTGCTCGGCGTGCGGCTGCCCAACTCCCATCAGTTTCTCGACTGCTCGACGACACTCAACTCTCTCGACTCATCGCGTATATCTATCGTCGAGGCTTCCTGGATGACTTTTTCATAGCAAAAGCTAAATTTCTCGGTCAAGTTCTGCCGCTTCTGAAGTGTTTCAAGACTTGTGTATACACTAGTCTATTTGTTCTCTCGTGCTTTCATCTCATTGTCCTTGCATTCAGCTGTGGCGTATAGCATTGATTGAAGTGCTCAACTGGTCGGTCTAAATTTCACCAATATAGTACTGGAGTACTGGCGTTGTAAACAACTTGTTCTTGCACCAAACGTAGTAGCAAATAGCTTTAATAGCTTTAATTTACTTGATTTATCCACTGCTTAACTTTGAAAACTACTCTCCGCAGCAGGTTTCAAGTTCCTCATTTTTGCCTTGTCTCTTTTTTCTTAAACCAAGTCTTAGGAACTAATGCCTTTTGAAACACATATTTTTTTGAGTTGAATAGTGCATGCAGGTGGCTTGGAATTGAAGGAGAGTGGTGGTGAGCTGAAAAGAGGGAATGTCGCCATTCAAGCGATTCTAACACCTGGTGATTGGCGGCATTACCTCTCTAGCATAGATTCGTACGCTTATTCTTTATTGGCGTAATAAGCGAACAATCTCTGCTGAAGATTTTGTCGTTTGTCTTGTGTCGTGCAGGGTATTCTGCTGAGTTATAACAAAACATTTTCAAATTTATTTTCGTGCTTCTACTGTTTTAGAGGTGTTCATTTTAAAAATAAAAAGAAAAAACGCAGCAAATAAACTCCTTACTGCTTCGAAACCCATACTGCAGCTGATGTGATATATCTATAGTTGTCATGTTGGACCCTTACACTCCATTAAGCGTTTCCACCAAAGAAGACTTGCTCAATTTCTTGTTTCATCCCGTGCGTGTCCTAACTAGGGTCTTCTTCGAGGCTGTTAGTGTAAGTGATGCAAAAGTGAGGGCTATTGATGATGATCAATTGTAGTTCTTCCAATTTCTTCTCACTATGCTCACCATCCCAAATCTAAGGTTTTTTCCCCTGAATTGAACATTTTATTTGTTAACACTCAGTGGTACACTGAGCTTCCACATTCCATCATTTTCGCTTTTAAGTGCTGTGATACTCACAGCGGTTATGGTCTTTTCGCGACTACAAGGTTTTCCTATATGTTTGGAATTGAGATGCACATCAACGGCTCACTTAATCCCTCCACATGGCAATGTCAGGAGTTAGCCAGTGCTGTTTTTTCGCCGAAAATAGTCAAAATAAATCAAGAATATCGTCGTCGCAAAAACGCGAGGCTGTTCTTGGTCGTCGATTGTGCGGAGCCTACTATGCAACTTTGATTAACAACTTCGTCAACCGCAGATCTTACTGATGATCATTGTGTTACATAATGCTTAAAGGAGAAAAATGGAGTAACCTCTTATTGTACTTTGTTAATACATTATACGACATTCATTGGGAAAATGTTTGTAATCGTTCCAGCCAGCTATGATATATTTTCTTTAGAGCGCTATCTACTAGAAATCTTACAATAAACTTTTCTATAGTTTTTTCCCACCATGCTTCTTCATTCATCTGAACGTATTCAAACAATGTGCCTTCCAATTTTTATTTTTGAAGTCTTTATCAAACTTTTTCGGCCTTTACATCAAATAACGTTTCGATCTCTAAAGACTAGTTAATGGATGGTTGTTTTTGCTGAACTGAGTGATCGGATATGCTCAGTTAGTGTAATATCTCATCGCTTTACAGTAGAGACCAAAGCTTTGGTGAGGATAACCAATCAAAACATTGGTTTCTTAAGACAAAGTAAGCAATCGTGCGACTAGACAAAAAAGCACGAGCCAAAAATAGGCTGTGTTTAGAATCAGTGTGGCTTCTAAGCTTCAAGATTTATTGAATGAGTCTACTAATTTGCTAGGAAGACAAGATTGTTCTTAATTGAATTCTCTTCCATTATGAAACGAAAATTGTTATGATTTCCCAAGATAGGTGCCATACCTGGATACTTGGATGGCCCGTCTTCACTGGTTGTACAGGCCCTAGCATAATTTCTATTCTCCGGAGATTTTCTGGTTCAGTCATTGTGGTTCCCCGGAGTGTCGAGGACAGCCTGGTCAAAGTTTGCCCCAGGTTGTTATCACCACAGACACTCGCAGCCCTTGTGGATGGATAATAGGAACATTTGCCACAATGCGACTAGTTTGTTACCAGGAGGGTGGTGGATCCTGGTATTGGTTTACTCTTTGCTAGGGTTGCTTATGGAAATGCCAGACTCATTCTCAGCTTAGGGACTCTACCAGGGAGTTTAGGGACTCCCTCCGCTGTTCATCACAGCCCGAAACACAGGAACACCTCCCAGCCATGGATAGGTGCTACAGATCATGTTATTTCTTCTATTATTTATTCTAATTTTTTTATTATTTCGTCTTAAACGATTGTATTACGATTCCATCGTGAATAATTCGTTGTGTACAAATTCGTATAACTATCATACTAAATGCTATCAATTTTTCTAACTGCCTTTTACTTTTACCTACTTGTTCACGTAACAAACATGGTACTGCTTTTTTGCTATCGCATTTTCGTGTTATATTCCATATATTTATCAACATATCTTGGTTTATACTGTTTTAGCTTTCCTAAGCTAAATCGTTACAAGTCAAATCTGTTGTTAATAGTAGCCGTCACTCGTAAGCTTTCGCAGTATTCTATTTCTAGATTCGCCTATTTTGGTCAATGTTTAAGTGACTCCATTCACCCACTCAAACCACACATCTGCTCATCCATTCTTGCCATGTTCTTCCATTGCATTCTTATAATCGCCAGCTCTGATGTTATTAGCCTTTTCGGAAATTAATACAGCTTTCTAATGTTTATCTTTCTTATAGGGGTTTTAGCAGTAATTTCTTTATTAATGATATACTGCAACGTTTATTTCAAAGCTTTCGCCATAGCGAATTCATCCTCAAAGATGAAGGACGTTGCGGACGACTCAATATAATGATTTTGTTCGTATTTTTTTGAGCAAACGCGAGGTGTTATTGTTCTTTGTTCACGATTAAGCTGACGTTTCGGCGAATTTCGCCTTCTTCAGAGCCTGGAAAGGTCAAGTTGATAGCAACTCACTCGGCCAGACGCCTCCATAACCAAACAAAGAAACCCCAAACCAAGATTTCAATCACTTTGAACACAGCTTTGCACACTCACCGCTTTCTATGAGGTCTCCACTAAGTATGTCACGTAGAGACCAACCGCACAGAAATCACGTGGAAGTATAATGTGCCCCTCACATCAGAAAAGCAGTTTTATATACTGCCCTATATCACGCGTGATAATGAGGCATTCTTCCCTGCGGTTCATTTTCGGATTTCTGGAATTAATCCAGAGTGCCTCGAGGGTTTTTCGCGCCTGTGTTCTCGATTCGCGTGCGATGATCGTGACACTTACTTCGAAGTCGTCCCCGTTATGTCTCTGGGTCCTATGCGTGCCTAGCGGGGTATTTGGTCTATTTT